AGAGTGTCTGCACCATTCCCACCTCCCCTCATCCAGCTCCTAGGGGTTTGATGCCACTCAAGTCTGACTTGTTCCCAACTCTCCACCAATAGGACCCCTGTCCATTGAGATCATAATGCACCTGCATGACCTCACTCAGCCCTTTATCTGCCCATTGTTGATCTGAGCTGGCCCCTAATTGTGAGGCCTTGGGCAGTTGCATTAGGGGTCCCTGCCAGATGGACAGGCAGCAGTCCACCAGAGAAGAGTGAAGGAACCCATTGCAAGGTAGGTTTTTAGGAGAACATGGTAGAAAAGGGGGTGGGACTATATGCCTAACATCTAGCAGAGGTCCTCAAACTTTTAAAAAAGTGGGCCAGTTCACTGTCCCTCAGACATTCAACACATGCACACTGCGGGCCTGGGATGAGTCGGCTGCTAAGCAGGACAAGCAGCGGCGGCAAAAACATCCGGTGGGCCGAATAAATGTTTTTGGTGGCCACATTTGGCCCGTGGGCTGTAGTTTGAGGACGCCTGACTAGGGAGTCAATAAAAGTGCTTTCAGTGTACCAGCATAGTGGATGAGAATGTGGACAAAAGCTTTCAGTCTATAATTTTATTATTATTATTATTATTAATTATTATTATTATTAAAGTATTGTTGTTGTGGTCAAGAAAGTAAAAGCCTCACAGCTACAATGTAGAAGTAAATAGATTACTACACTTAGTCCATTTTTAGGTGAACCTCACTAAACTACACTAGGTCTCTATTTAGTGAAAAATTCAGATGCTGATGCAAAGTTTCAGAAGCTTCCTTTAACCTTTGCTCCAGTAAGAGAGAATGGGAGAAATTATATAAACTTATGCATCCATGGTCCCATATAATAAGTGAAGTTTAGTGGGAAATTGGGTGTACTTACTACAATTCTAGGTTCTTCTTTAGACCATCTTTTCCTTCCATCCCAGAAACGACCAAAGTTGTACTACCAACTTCTAATTTCATGGGCTCAAATAAGGCACAATTTGATCAAATTTTAGTTTTAAATTGCAGTGTTTTTCTGCAACATTCCAGCTCTTGATGGGAGAATCTAACAGATTTGTGATCTCTGGGACCCGGAAGTCGCCTAAGAAGCCCTTCTTACATTGGGTTGATCCCCTGGGAGAAATGTTAGCTAGACCACAACCCTGCCTGCAGAGGGACTGGCCAGCCACGGACTCCCCTGACGTCCCTGATTCTGAGACACGACTCAGGAGAATGGTACTGTATCATCATCAAATGTACAGGGAGAACCAGAGCTTTAAAAGGTTATTTCAAGATCACTCAGCTAATATGTGGCAGATCAAGGACTTTGATCCAAGGTCTATCTGATCCCAAAGCTCTTTAACTATTAAGTGAAATTCCTTTTGTTTTTATTCCCGAAAAGATCACTGCTGACTTTATGGCTCAGATGATTTCTTTGATGTCTGCATCTTGATCATAATATACCTTTCTACTCCCCAATATTAGTGGCCATTGTTGGATAAGTAAGGAACTTGAGTTCCCTGTGTCCCTCTTTTCCTTCTTTCCTTCTTTATCACTCTTTTTAAAAATATACTTTTATTGATTTCCGAGGGAAAGGGAGAGGGACATAGAGATATAAACACCAATGATGAGAGAGAATCATTGATTGGGATCAAGCCCACAACCTGGGCATGTGTCCTTGACTGGAATCGAACCTGGAACCCTTCAGTTTACATACAGGTCTATCCACTGAGCCAAACCGGCTAGGGCCTTCCTTCCTTCTCTTTTTACCCTCCCTCATTTAGTTCCTCCATGCATCCATTTTTTCATTCACCCATTATTTGGTTCCTCTACACTAGCTCTCAGTCATTTAAACATATATTTGACTACCTTCTCTATGCCAGCCCACTGTTCAAAGTGCTGAGAATATGAGATAATAATAGGACATGTTACTTTAGTAATTCATGGCATGGTGAAACCTAGAGTCATGAGCAATATGAAGTAAAACTGAGATGGAGAAAGGAAAGAGATGGAGAAGAATTTCAATATGTCCCTCTGTATTCTTCTGGCTTTACCACAATAATGCATTGATGTAAAACCTGTATTAAAAAATACTCTGGGCCTGACTGGCATGGCTCAGTGGTTGAGTGTGAACCAGGAGGTAATGGGTCCATTCATTCCTAGTCAGGGCACATGCCCCGGTTGTGAGCTTGATGCCTAGTAGGGGGACATGCAGGAGGCAGCGCATCAATGATCTCTCTCATCATTGATGTTTCTATGTCTCACTTCCTCTCCCTTCCTCTCTGAAATCAATAAAAACATTTTTCTAAAGAAATACTCTGGGAAGAAATACTGCCATTTGGGACAATATGGACAGATCTTGAGAGTATCATGCTAAATGAATAAGGAGAAGGGAAAGCACAAAAACAGTATGATTTCACTCGTGTGGGCTATAAAACAGAAAGTGCCAATGAACAAACAAAATGAACAAACTCATGGACACAGACAACAGTATGGTGGTTACCAGAAGGAAGCAGATTGGGGTTGGTTGAAGAGGGTAAAGGGGTCAACTATAGAGTGACAGAAGGAGACTCACCTCTGGGTGGTGGGACACATGCCATGTAAACGATGTTATAGAAATGTCCACCTGAAACTCATGTGATCTTATTTAACCAACATCAGCCCAATACATTTCATTTTTAAAAATTTAACATAAAAATAAAAAATTACTCTGGTCCCCAAAGTCTCACCTGGTTGAGATCTATGCAAGAGGCGGCATGGGTGCGAGCTTGTCCAGAATGGATCAACCTTCTCTTAAATAGGAAGCACAAAAAGTTACTGACCGTAAAAAGGAGAAATCATTTTCATTTACAAAATTTCTCCTCTTTATTCACCTTCTAAAAATGGAGATTTTCTTCGTATTCCTAAAAGGGAAGCTGACATGAAATAAAGATAAATGAATAACTGGATGATTTGCAAAGCAAGTGGATTTTTTTCATTATTTTTTTTCTGAAATAGAAAAAGCACCAAACCTCAAAGTCATAAGCAGAATGAGAATCGGTTAGAAAATGCTGACTAACGATAGAGGTCTTTTTCCTTTTCATCAGCCACAAACTTGGATCTGTCTATAGAGAAAACATCCTCCAATGACACCCAATCCCTCACTGAGCAACTTCATTGGGAATGCAAGCATTTCCCCTCCTGCTGACTGTTTCAAACTCTTTTCCAGGTCACCTGCCTCTGTGGATGTGCACTGAAGAACCAGCCACCGCCAGACACTACCTGTTCATCCCATAATCTCAGGAATTTACTCACGATGAGGCTCCTATTCCTCCTCCTCCTCCTCCTCGTTTGTTTCTCACAGACGGTGTCAGGTGAGCTGTGGATCTGGCTGGTAGGGTGACATGGTGGCTGATCTTGGACCTGGGAGCAGAGAGGACTGAGCGGTTCCTGATCCAAGGATGCACTGACATGTGTAACAACCGATGAGGATGGTAGCTGAAAGAAGCGCAGTACAAAATCCTTGATGTGCCACTTATTAAAAAGATTTTCCCAAGGTTGCCCATCATTACTAGTTAGTAATAAACCCATAACTAACCACAGAGATAGATAACATGTACAGGGGGCTTTACAGCTTACAAACAACAACACGTCCTAATAGCAAACACTATTGACCGCTTCCTCTTGACGAAACACCACAACAAAACCTTTCCCCCTCTTATCCCACCTCATAGCAGCATTTACGTTGATGGGGCAGGTACTTTAGGCCTGTCTCAGAGATGAGAATAAGAAATGAAGTAAGTGCTCCCAGTCACACAGATTGTACAAAGTGAAGCCCTTAACTCAAGCCCAAGTGGCTCTGGTTCCAAAGGCCATGTTTTCATTAAATAGTCAACATGCCCAGAAAGTAAATGTATGTATTAAATTACATG